TAACCAGCTTTCTAATCTTAATCTTTCATAATCTTTCATTTATGAAACTTTTTTTGCGCAAGCAGGTGCGTTCAACCCTTTCTTCAAAAACCTAGAAGAGTACCTGGACTTTTAAAAGTTTTTTCTTGTTACAGGTGCCTTTTTAAAGTATAAATCCTCAACTTTTGATCTGCAAAGGCAAAAGATTACAAGAAATCTACTTTATTTGACTTTAACTTTATTTGAACTAAAAAAGTACTTGATATTGTTTAAAACAAGGAATTATTGAAAGGTTGTCCATGAGAAAATCAAATGTTGCTTTTCTTGCTCAAATGTTCTTGCTTTTCCAGGTTCAATCCGATCTCTAATCTTCTAAATCAAAGTCTAAATGTTCTAATCTTGTTGTGCAATTGCAAATTTTGCTATACAATTGGATTTTCTTTGATACGCAAGTCATTGAAAATAGTTTTGATATCGATAAAAAGAGATGTAGTTAAAACTCGAATAGAAAACGTTCAAAACAGCGCTGCTATTAACAGCGCTGCGCTGCTAACGTTCAAAACCGTGCTGCTATTAACAGCGTTGCGCTGCTGACGTTCAAAACAGTGCTGCTATTTCAAAATGTGTCTCGAGTGATACTCAGTTGTTTAACTGAATATCTTAATTAGCTGCTTAACTGAATATCTTTGGAGACCGATTTTGAACGCTAATTTTATCTATGAAATATTAGCTTTCTTAAAGAACTGTTTCATCCATCATGTATAGAGTGTGTTCCTCGCGAGTAAGTAATTACTCGAGTAAATTTGCATGAGTAATTCTTTACTTGAGTAATAGCTCGAGTAATTGTCGAGTAATGCGTTTTCTATAAAAATAGCGCGAAAAAAATATAAAAGCAATTTTTTGCGGAAGTTTTTCAAAAAAATCTTTGCACGACGAGTCAATTGAATATCTTTACATTGGAAGGGAATTTCCCACCAAATCAGTTAAACGGCTGAGTATCTTTAAAAAGTGTCGTATATAATGCGGGGCTCGCCATTTTTGCGTCATTCTTTTGCGTCATTTTTTTGCGTCGTTTTTGCGTCATTTTTTGCGTAATTTTTTCCCAGTTGTGCATTTTAAAAAACGCATTTCTCGCGAGGAACACACTCTAATCATGTAGCAAAGAACGCAAGCAAAGTAGCGAAGAACGCAGGAATTTTTTGATATAAAACTTGAACCGACTTCGCTTTTTTGGATTGTCAGAAATTTGCCTAAGCCTAAGCGTTTTCTATTCGGCCCCATTTTAACTCTACTTAACTACTTTAACTTTAACTTTAACTACATCGCGATAAAAATTTCGTTAAGCAACTCTACTTTAGAGTTTTGTTTTCTTTCTTTTTGTCTTTATCTGTATATCCGGTCCAGGGAAAGGGGCAAAACATATTATTTTTAAAGTTTGCCTCCCCGGCCTCGAAATCAAAACTTTTTTTGAAGCAAAACTTGTGTGTCGCTTACTAGATAGCCATTTGCTTTTAAAAAGTTACATTTTTTCTTCAAAAATCCGCATTTTTCTTCAAGAATCTTCCATTTTTTAATTTCATTGTCTAAAATTTGAATAATTGTACAAAAAACAACAAGAAAGGAGGAAAATTATGGTGGCTGCCGATTGGGGACTATTTTTTGGACTCCTCCGAAAATTTTTTCTGGCTATGGGTATATCCATAGGGAGAACAATAGGTGAGGCTTTCCAAGAGGAGGGAAAGGTCCCTCCCCTCCGGGAGGATGCATAGATTAGAACTTTCTCTTTTTTTCCCCCATTTTTCAGTCTTTTATCTCATCTCTATTCATCTCTTATCGATGTTTTTTACTTCATTTTTACGCGTAGAGTTGATTCAGAGTTCGTTTTCTTCGACGGCAGAGTTGGTTACGGTTGTTTTGGTTGTTTTTTTTGGTAGAGCTGGTTTTTCTATGGCACAGCTCGTTTTTCTACGGCAAAGTTGGCTTTTTCTACGGCATAGTTCGTTTTTTACGGCATAGTTCGTTTTTCTACGGCAAAGTTGGTTTTTCTACGGCAGAGTTGGCTTTTTCTACGGCAATGTTGGCTTTTTCTACGGCAAATTTGGTTTTTTCTATGGCACAGTTCGTTTTTTACGCGGCAAAGTTGGTTTTTCGATAGGAAGCTAAACATTTCCTTCTTCTTTACCACTAAGGCGTGAGTTCAAATCTTCAAATCTCGCTTTAGATGTGCTTTAAATCGTGTACTTGCGCATTATATCTTGTACTCGCGCATTATATCTGTTCTTTTACATCTTTTACACAAGTAAATGCTTTGCACGGGTTTTAAGCTCGGGATTCTCAGCTTTGTTCGTCTAATTTTTGTTGAGACGGTGACCACAGTTGATTTTCAAAATTGGCAACGACGTTATGACGTTGATTTGAATGTCAATTTCAAAATATTAAAAGCCTGGGATCAAAGTTTAATACCAGGCTCTTGAACCAAATAACATAACCATTCTATTTACAAATAAAACAGCCATTCTATTCGCCAATAATGCATAACCCTTCCATTTGCCAATAAACAATAACCATTCTCTTTACCAACTTATCAATTTACCAATACCAATTTACCAAAATCCTACTCCACAACTTACTCCCAATTTCCCCATTCTTCCCACCAAACCTAAGCCACCAAAACAATGACAAACACTTTGCGAAGAAATCTCTTGACTCGGAAAACGAATTTTTCTTTTGCCTTTTCTGTTGCCTTTTCTTTTGCCTTTTTCTTTCGCCTTTTTCTTTCGCCTCTTTCTTTCGCCTTTTCTTTTGCCTTTTCTTTTGCCAAATCTTCGACCAATTTTGGCAGTACTGGGAGCGAAAGCCGTTATTATTCTGGATTACACAATAGATTTCTCGGGGAATTGAGAGAAAGAGCATTCCAAAGCATGGACTTCTTCATAAGCACCTCTCCTACTAGTCCTCTCCCACTAAAAACAAATCTTTCAAGAGTTTCGTGAGCGAAGATTTTCTGATGAATATTCCATGTCACCAACTGGTACTAGTTCAATTCGTTTTTTGTCCTCATCATCATCAAAAACTCGCTTCAAGCGGGGTTTTCTAGATCTTTTGCTTTGGGCTTTTGCGGCGAGCAGCTTGGCGCAGTTCGGAGTGCGCTTGTCTACGGCTCACAACTCGTCTATGACCTTGGTTCAACCCCCCGGTAGTGCCACTCACTGAGGCTTCTACGCCTAACAGCGGATTTTTTTGATGGTGACATGTTGTCGCCATGGCGCAGTCGGGAGTGCTCTTGACTACAATCCACCTGCGACCGTTTACAACCCGGGTTCGACCCCCATAGTGGCACCCAATCTTGGCTTTTTAGTTTTTTAAATTCTGAAACTTTTCTAGCCAATTCCGTATCTTTCTGGGTATATTTTCTCTTTGACTTTTGCTAATGCTTGCTTTAACTTTGCTTTGACTTTGCTTTGACTCTTCAAATTCGTTCTTTGCATTGGATTTATGTCCTAGGATTTAAAAAATTCTTCATTTTCCCTTAAAGAATTGAATAGTATCGTGAAATTCTCAATAGATTTCAAAAGTGAAAGCTATCCATTAAAGGATATTTGAAATTGAGATTGAAGTGTTTTGAGAAAAATGGGGAGGAGAAGATGACTCACTCTAAAGATGAGAAAAGTATCGCTTCTGCTTTTAGCAGATTTAGATTCATTAGATTTCTACCTGGTCTATATTGGCTAAATCTTTTGTTTACATTAGTTAAATACTTTGCTGTACTTTGTGTACTTGATACTTTGTACAGTAAAGTACCCTGTACTTTGTGCTCTAATCTTCAAAACACACCCTTCCTAGGGCACTGAACTTTCTCGATCCATTTCTTTGTCTAACTTCAAATGCAAATTTCATTTGATATCTGATAATTATGAATATGAAATATATCCTTTAAAGATTCAGATATAAATTTAGGGTTCCTTTTCTCTAAAACAACAATAACAAGGCAATTTCTGGTGGAACTCTAGCAAAAGATCGAAAAAAGCAAAAGATCAAAATCGAAGTCAACCTTTCTTTTCCTCAATCTTTTCCGGAAAAGGATTTTTGTTTAAAACATAAAGCAAAAGAAAAAAGGGACTAAAGGAAGCGTCCAAACTCGATAATGCATCCAAAAGGGAATTCCCCATGGGAGATTTGGGGAAAAAAGGGGAAAGAGGGGGAAAAAGGAGATCTCAGCTAACAATCTTTTCCTCATTTTTTTCACTTTTTAATTTGCTGAACGATGAACGACGAAATGCTTTCTAGAAATACTTTTGGAAAGCATTTCGTCGTTCATATTTTATCCAATTTGTATCCCTTAAACCATATTACTTCCAGAATCCCAGATCTTTTTCTTAAAACTTAAAGCTTTTATAGTAAAAGTATAAGATTAGCTTTTAAATCAGATATTTGTAAAATAATAACGTCAATAATTTGTTAATAATAACGCTAAAAGAAGAAAAATTGATATAAAGAGAAAAAGAAAGAAAAGAAAAGAAAAGAAAGAAAAAGAAAGAAAGAAAGAAAAAAGAAAGAAGAAAAAAAAGAAAGAAAGAAAAGAAAGAAAAAGAAAGAAAGAAAGAAAAAAGAAAGAAGAAAAAAGAAAGAAGAAAGAAGAAAAATGAGAATGAAAAAAGTGAGTGAATCGGAGAGAGAAAATTCAGACAGACAGACAGACAAAAGTACTGTAGGACTACAGTAAGACAAGACAGAAAGACAGACAGAAAGACAGACATTTATTTTATATGGTAGATATCAATTCTACGCATTCTTTTTTGCAAAATTCAGCTTATTGATGACAAAGTTATGTAAACCAACGTGCTTTTCCCTTTTGCGCACAAATTTCCAATGCCCAGCGATGATTTTTTCACGTTTTTCATCAGCGATGAATTTTTCACGTTCACTCTTACTTCTCGTACTTGTTGTTTTCTATTTCTATCGTTTTATCTCAAAATTTAGATTTCTCTGAAATGTAGCTGACATTTTTTTTCCAATTCTCGATGCGTTTTCTCTTGCTCGTCACCTGTGTTTTTCAGGTGAGTTTGAAAATGGAAAGCAATAGTTAATGGATCCAATATCGGCTATAGTATCCTTTACTTATCGTAAATAGTATCCTTTACTTACCGTAAATAGTATCATTTACTTACCGTAAATAATATCCTTTACTTACCGTAAATACTGTAATAGTACCCCATCCCCCTCGTACAGTCGCGTAGTCGCAAAAGTTTTTTAGTATTTAGTATTTCATTTTTTCGAAGCACCCGTACTTTCAAAAAATGCGTCTTTGGTATCAAAAAATAGCCCTGAATTTCAGCTATTTTTGATACCTAAACGCGCATTGTAGCATAAACCAGTGTCGAGAAAAACTCGTTCAAAGCTAGACTACACCACACTCCGCACCATCATTATGAGGGTGGGGTACTATTACAGTATTTACAGTAATATAGTTTTCAGCTGGATAGGATAATATAGGATTCCTTAGCCATTCCCTACAGTAGAATGAATCTGTGCTTTTGTTATTGACTCAATAATTGTTCCTCATTTTTCAGTTCGAAGCTCGGGCGGACGTGCTCGGCTGGGCTGGTTGGTCACCGTGGACACCGTGCTCGAAAACGGTTTTGATTTTTTTGATTTGAATTGAATAATTTTATAAACTTATCAGCAAATTGAATAAGCTACCATCAAAATAAGAAACTTTTATTGAAAACGTGCAAAATGTGTGACAAATATTGTCCAAATTTCCTCTTATTCAGAAAATTCGGTTATCGTTTGTCATTTGAACACTTTTCCACGCACTTCTAAGCCTTTCACTATAAATAAAGTGAAAGCTTAGCGAGTGGTGAGAAGAGGGAATTTCGATCCGGGATTGAACCCGGGATTGTGCGACTTGAAGACAAGCTCGCTAACCAATAGGCTATAAAGGAGCCAATCTTTCACAGGCAATAAAGGCCATAAAGGAGCCAATCTTTCACAAAGCTCTTTTCGGAAAAGTTTGCTGGTAAAGCATAAGAAATAAAAGTGTCATTGAAATCTATTTTCTACTGTTTATAGTATTTTGCAGTAGTCAAAAGGTACTATTTTGTTGTTCCAGTAATCAAATCACTCCAAATCAACCAAATCGAGTATAGAATCTTTAAAGAAATCATTAGATTCTGTTTAATTAAGTATTATTTCAGAATTTATTCAATTTCCCCAATTTTAGTGTGGCGGCGGTGTTTCACAGCAATTGCGTCGTTGTCTCGACGTGAAATGCTCGGGTATTTCCGTTCGATTTCGGGTTTGCAATGCTAAAGTGAGTCGTACGGTCAAAATAAAATAATTCTATTTTTAAAGCTTTCATGTTTTACATTTACATTTATATAAAGGGTCTAATACATCTGTCTGTCTGTCTTTCTGTCTTGTCCTACTGTAGTCGCGGCAAAATTCCGGCTAGCCATTTAATCAAACCAACAAATGCTTGTCTTTCTGGCTGTCTACCGTATCCTACTGTCTGTCCGTCTGTCTGTCTGTCTGTCTATCCGTCTGTCTGTCTGTCTGTCTATCCGTCTGTCTGTGCTCTACTTTTCAACCCCCAGAGAATCGTTTGCAATGATTTTTGCGCCGTTGAATAGAGAATTACATGTAGTTGTGCAACATGCTTTTGGATTTTTAAAAAAGCACAATTCGAGTCGCACGTGAAGGTTGAAACTGGATCGTATGGGCGACATACAGGCGCACTATCCACTGCTCCACGGCGACAAAAGCCGTTCATCTCCAAAAAATCCAAAAAAAACCCGTTAAGCGGCTTTCTCGGCTGGTACTTCTATAAACAAATTTGCTTTTTTTGCACTAAAATTTGCATTTAAAATGAGCGGAAGCCTAAAATAGGTAATTTTCAATAAATTTTTTTCATTTAAACTCAAAACCCGGCTCTAGGATGTTGAAATTCGGAATCTACGCACAAAATACCCTAGAAAAATGTTTTCAAGTTGGTTTGGGGCAGAGAAACTATACTTTTATCAACAAAAAGCTTATAACGACGAATAAGGCCTAATATTGAAAGCAAAATATGATCTTAAATCAGTAAATAATATAATCTTGTTGCAGGAATGTGATAAGCCTTCTCGAACGGCGAGGGAAACGGTTTGCGGAGGAGAGACGATTCTATCGAAACAACAGGTCGCATTCTAAGCAAATCGATCACTTATTTAGAATCTAAAATTACATAGTATAGCAATACTTTAAAGCAATACTTTCCCGTAAACTTGATCAATAAAATCTTTTTCTTTTTTTCTAGTGTGAAGTGGTGTGTCGATCGACGAGTTCTGGAGCGAAATTCATTTGGAGAGTCGGCGATGGGACACCGTGTCAAGGGACAACTCATCGCTCCGTTTGTGCAAATGGAGCTTGTCAGGTTTGCAGTTTGCAGTCCATTTTGCAAATGGAGCAACTAGCTACTGTGTGCAAATAGCTACTGTGTTTTAATCACATGAATAATTTGGTTAAAAAAAACAATACACAAGCACCCCTAAGCCCTAAATAAAGAAGAAAAAAACCCACATTTGGTTGAGCAAAATTATCCGGACAACTTTTTTGGAAAACTGCTTTCTTTGCTTAATTAAACGCTTAATTTATTGTCATTCAAATTTATTCAAAATCTCAAATACGGTTCCAATAGGGTTCCAATACGGTTCCTATTTTGATCTAATACGGTTCGAATACGGTTCCTATTTTGATCTAATACGGTTCCAATACGGTTCCTATTTTGATCTAATACGGTTGTATAAAAATGTTATATAGAGATTTGTAGCGCTTAATCTTGGTTACATTTACAGTACTGGACAATGAAATATCATATTTGAAAAATGATCGTCACGTTTGCACGTCTGGAACTTCGTTGTCTTTGACTTTAAACTGTTAGTGTTATACATTTTCTGAAAGCTCTTTTCAAGGGCTACACAGTGGTAATATTAAGGGGGGTAGTCAAAACAGCGCCATAATAGAAAACGTTCAAAACAGCGCCGTCAAATTTCTCAAAATCAAAAAAACAAGCCAGGTTCAAGTTTTATACCAAAAAAATTCCTTGCGTTCTTGGCTACATGATGGGTGAAACAGTTTTTAAAAAAGTTAATATTTCATAGATAAAAAGCAATAAAAAGAGCACTCAAAATGTGTGTCGAGTGATACTCAGTTGGTTAACTGAATATCTTTAGAGACCCATGTTGAATGCTCTTTTTATCTATGAAATATTAACTTTTTTAAAAAACTGTTTCACCCATCATGTAGCCAAGAACGCAAGGAATTTTTTGGTATAAAACTTGAACCGGCTTGGTTTTTTGGATTTTGAGAAATTTGACGGCGCTGTTTTGAACGTTTTCTATTATGGCGCTGTTTTGACTACCCCCCCAATATTAATATTTAGAAATATCGTATTTTTTGACGCATTTCAGCGCGCGCGAAAGTGACGATCGTTTTTCAAATATGATATTTCATTTTCCAGTACTGTATCTAATAAAAACTTTTCAATCGGATTTATGCAAGTCATTTAACAAGTCCTTGAATGAGCACTAGTCCAACTAGTCGATTTCTATCCGGCGCGCTGCCATTTTTGACGATTTAACGACGATTTGCTTGATTTGATTTGCTGTCTTTCAAAGTTGATGCATTTATATTATGATATTTGTCTAAATTTAACTAAGGAGTGAAAAAAACTAAAAGAATTAGTAGAGAGAAACCTTCAGAGAGAAAGAAATGTTTTTCGAGAAGTTTTTATGTTAAATTTGAATTTCTGTCACAAATTTTAAGTGTTAATATTATCTTATTGTTAAATATTAATTTGAATGAGAAATGATTTGAAAAAAGAAACGACGACGCGGCGCTCCCATCGACTACCTCAAATGGCGGCGACGTCGCATTCCAATTGACGTCGCCACCATTTGGAGATAGTCGATGGGAGCGCCGCGTCGTCGTTTCTTTTTTCAAATCATTTCTTTTTTATCAAAATTAATTGAATTATTGTTTTACGCGATAAATTTTGCGTTTCTCCCTTGAAATGAGAAAGAACTCTTTCCATCATTTCCATTTGGGAACCGAGTGGAAAATCCGGAACTTTTCGTAGCTCCACCACAGCTGAAGCTCGTAGCTCCACTACAGCTAAAGCTCGTAGCTCCACCACTTTTTGTAGCTGAAGTCCAAAACTAACTGGAAGATGGTTTGAGGAGTTGAATGGAAACACCTCATCTTCTGGACCGTTACAAAACTAAATTAAGCCTGCGAAAACCACTTTTCCAAAAAAGTTGTCCGGATAATTTTGCCCAACCCCTGTACATGGGAAAAAAGAACTAATAATCTAGCCGATTGAATTGAACCCTTGACCTCCCGACTAAGATATAGGGCTCTTATCCAGTCGGCTATGGGGCCATATTGCAAAAATCCGTCTAAAACTGACAGAATCCTTTTAAATCTCAACTTTTTCTCGATTCAGGCAGTCGGCTGTGACGATGTCGTTGGTTCGACTCTCCGTTTAGATGCTTGTGGTGTTTGTGGTGGACAGGGTGATACGTGTGAAGCGGCACATTTTGATTGGAAAGATTCGGGAGAATACACGCCGTGTGCAAAGTAAGCAAAATTTGTCAAAAAGACTTAGAAACTAAGGGGTTTCCTAGCGATTTGTACTTGCATTTAAAATTGCACGTGGTTAATAGCTTGTGTGTCTTAAATATATTTAAAAAACGAAATTTTATCGATACAAGCAATAATCCAGTGGAAAATGAATAAAAAGGGTTAAAAATGAAGAAATTAAAAAATATAATAAAAATAGAAATAAAAGCAATAAAAATAATAGACATACAGTGGTCCACAAATGTATTGTCCCATTGCCATCCAAAAGTTTCTTTCGTATGAAAATCTTGCAAAATAACGATATTCCCAAAAAGTGTAGGGTATTTTGCTTACCCATAATACTCTACTTTTCAGGATTATAAGATTTATCCGTATACATTGCATAAAAATTTAAGTATAAAACAAAAACAATAAGTTACTTAACAAATAGCTCCACAAAAGTAATGTCCCATTTGCAAAGAATTAACAATTTTTTCAAAAAATTGATATTTGCCTGGTCCTCCTTTTGCTTTTATCGCTTCATTGAGTCGATCCGGCATGGAATCCACGAGATTTTTCAAAAGACTTGGGCGGATGGTGGCCCAAAGACGTTGAATGTGAACCCATAAGGCGGCCTTCGAATCGAATTTCTTTCCCTTGAGGCGCGACTTCACAAATGACCACAAATGTTCAATTGGATTGAGATCCGGTGAGTAGGGAGGTGGATTGATCAATTTAACACGATTTGCCGCAAACCATCCGGGCAGACGAGCTCTGGTACCATTTTGAAGTGTCACCAGCCGTCCCATCATCAGTCTCGACTTGTGTTTCGGGTCGTTGTCCTGGTAGAGCATCCATCCAGGAGGCATGGTTTGAGTTGCAAAAGGAAGCATTTGAGTCTCCATAATGTTCTTGTAGGCCACAGCATCCATCGTTGAGTTGACGTGAACTAATGGACCTACTGAAGTTCGTGACATCGCTCCTAAAGAAAAACAGTCAGGTGACAAAATACTAAAAAGGTTCTTACCCCAACACATTATGTTTCCACCGTTGAATTTCACGGTAGGCCGAATGTACTTGAGTGCGTATCGCTTTCCAGTCGGTCGCCGAATAAGATGGTTTCCATCCGCGTGAAATAAATTGATTTTTGTCTCATCGGTAAATAGCACTTTCGCCTAAAGACGTGTCGTCCAACTTCGGTAGGTCCGTGCAAAGTCAAGGCGCTGCTTCCGGTGCTTAGATTTTATCAGAGATTTACGGGCAGCCCTTCTTGCATATAATCCAGCTTGATTTAATCGTCATCTGATCGTTTCCGGCGATACAACCCTGTTAAATTGATCCCTCATCATTTGGCTTCCATCGGTTGGTGTTTTGTTAGGATCGTTTTTCACCATTTGGATCACGGCTCGATCTTCTTTTGTGGTTGTGATTGGTCGTCGGCCACTCTTGAGGCCTCGATGAAGGTTTCGGTCGACTTTTGATTGAGAAAGAATGCGGCACACCGTCCTTCTCGAGCAATTAAAGAGGTTGGCCACATCCTTTCCCGCATCCCATTTTCCCGGGCCTTGGCGATTCGGAGTGTCAAGGTTTTTTCTTGCCAGCCATCTAAATAATAAAATAAAATACATTTAATGTTCATAGAACGCGGAAATAAAAAGAGTAATCAAGGAAAACATCAATGGGACATTACTTTTGTGGAGCTATTTGTTAAGTAACTTATTGTTTTTGTTTTATACTTAAATTTTTCTGCAATGTATACGGATAAATCTTATAATCCTGAAAAGTAGAGTATTATGGGTAAGCAAAATACCCTACACTTTTTGGGAATATCGTTATTTTGCAAGATTTTCATACGAAAGAAACTTTTGGATGGCAATGGGACAATACATTTGTGGACCACTGTAAATAAAAATAAAATAAAATAGAGATAAAATCAAAATAAAAAAAGTCACAAATGAAGAAAAATGCCGCCGTAGCTGAAATGTCGCCGCGACTACAGTAAGACAGACAAAAAGACAGACAGAGACTAGCAAAAAAATGACTCGTAAATAGATGTTGATTGTAGATTCAACCCTTTTCTTTTCTCCACTAACAATTATAAGCAAGTTTAGCTTATTTTTACTTTATTTATGATCATATTCTATTATAGAGATTGCGAGGAGGCGGCAAGACTTGCACAATTGGATGGAGGAACTTTCGATGCGGTGGGTTTTATGTGTATTGCATAAGCCAGGTCTAGAATTTTAGGGCCTGAGCTGGGCTAAGCCAAGGCTAGGCCTAGCTTGGGCTCTTGGCCCAAGCTAGGCCAATTAACTTAAGGGCTGGGGATAAAAGTGCCTGATTTGCCAGAAGCCAGCTCTAGGTCTGGGCCTGGATCTCGGCTTGGCCTGACGGGCTATCTGGCTGGCTCTTGGCATAGCTTGGCCTAGCTTGGCCTAGCTTGACCTAGCTTAGCCTAGCTTGGCCTAGCTTGGCCTAGCTTGGCCTAGCTTGGCCTAGCTTGACCTAGCTTAGCCTAGCTTGGCCTAGCTTAACCTAGCTTGGCCTAGCTTGGCCTAAGTCCTGAGTTTAACTGGAATATTTCTGGATCTAGGTAATCAACTATAGCTAACCCCAGTTTGATTAGATGCTCAATCATTAATAGAAGCCTAAGCATTAATAGAAGCTCAATTTAAACAACAACAACAACAACAACAAACAACAACATCAGATTCTAAATCAATCAAACAACCCGAAATCCCTTTAGCAATACCAAATCACGGTTTTCGTTTGTGTGAATACCCAATCCGGTCGGGTTGTTCCCGAGCGAATGTGCGCAGATCGAGAAAAACCAAAAATCCAGCGAAAAGAGTGTCCACTGCTCGTCTGTCCATCAAGGTTTTTGTTTAAGAATTTCTAAATCTCTTTATCATTTCAATTTAGATGTCGGTAAGTGGGGAAAAACCGGTAAAATTGAGCTTTTCTAAAGTCAAAAAAAAGGCTAAAACCGTTTGCTGTGCGATTTTTTTTGAAGAAAAGGAAAAAAATGCTCCGCTTTTCACAACACTTTTCATTTGCGCTTTCGCAAAAAAAATTTTTTGTTTTGCATGGAGATTTTGAAGAGATTTTCCAATCCGAAATCCAATTTGATACAAAAAAAACTGAAAGAAAAAGCATGGTGTGAATTGAAATTGCATAAAAGGCATTAAAAATTAATCAAAGATGATTTTTGACCTAAACGCTTGGGATCTAGTGCACTAAATTCTTGATTTTACAAGGGTTTTTACCGAAAATATGCACCAAATGATAGTTTTCCGTGCGCCAGATGCCTTGCGTTTACTCGAAAACCCAATCAAGTCTTTCACAGTGATTAAAGGCAGAATAAATTGAGGTGTACTTTGTGCTCTCACAAACGCAAACCTCTTCGCACATCAAGAACAATCAGTAGACCAGAAAGCAAGCGTTTATGAGAGCACAGAGTACGCGCCTGACTTTCCTCTACCTTTTCCAACAAAATTCATTCAGATGGCTTGCGTCGGATTGGTCGGAATGTGTTCCGACGTGCGGAAGTGGTTTGAGACAAAGGACTGTTTATTGTGTACAGCAACAAGAGAATCATTCAATCAATGTACTCGATAAATATTGTTTGGCTGAAAAGAAGCCGGTGAGTGGGGAAAAGAAAGTTATTAGGTTATTTTTTCCGCCAGGTTTACCGCTACAACTTTGTAAAGTCATATAAATCTTCTAGAAGCGCCAATTAGTTAGAAAATAGGCTTGGATACAGGAGATATACTCAAAAATCAGCTCCAAAAATTTCATACGGATTCATTGAGTTTTCGCTGAGCTAGACGCTCAAAAGTGAATCGCTATAAGTTACGGTCATCCTGTATCGCTATAATAATAATAATAATAATAAGCTGGTGAATAAGTCTTTTCGTTTCTTTTCATACTTTCATTGAAAAATATAAAAAAATTATTAATTCGGTGCATTTGTTGGTATTTGTTGATAGTCTAGCCGAAACGTCGCAGCGACTACAGTAGGACAAGACAGAAAGACGGACAGACAGAAAGACAGACAGACAGAAAGACAGACAGAAAGCAGACAGAAGGATACGGTAGACAGCCAGAAAGACAAGCATTTGTTGGTTTGATTAAATGTCTAGCCGAAATTTTGCCGCGACTACAGTAGGACAAGACAGAAAGACAGACAGACAGACAGACAGAAAGACAGACAGAAAGACAGAAAGACAGACAGTAGGATACGGTAGACAGCCAGAAAGACAGGCATTTTTTGGTTTGGTTAAACGTAAGTACGATATGGAACGAAACTATTTTATAGCTAAAGACATCTTCGACTTGTCTAAACCCATCATTTCCAGCCCTCATCAGAATCGTGTGTCTCAAAATCATGTGGTACATGGGATCCAGGTGCATGGACATCTTGTTCAGTCTCTTGTGGAACAGGGACACGTTCAAGAACGGTAAACAATCAGAAGTTGAAAATAATAAGATTTCGTCAAAACTTACAAATACGTTTTTCTAATGGAGCTGAATGGAGCTAAAAAAGTTGCCGGTTTATTGTTGGCATTTCCACCAATTAGAGACATTTCCACAAGCTTCAACGATGTTCTCGAGATGAAAAATTCTAGGTGAATTGTGTCGGTGGCACCGATTGTGACAAGTTGAAGAAGCCACAGGTAACTTTGACTGTGCTGTACGTAAATTGTACGTCTGAATTGATCCGATAGATTCAAAAACGGACGTCCGGTTCTGAATCGGACAAAAATTCAATAATAGACGTAGCATATCAGTATTGTTAGCATATCAGTATTGTTAGCATATCAATATTGTCAGCATATCAGCATATCAGCATTATCTTTAGGTTCGACAAGCATGTTATGCAGGAATTCCATGTAATGTCATACCGCCACAAGCACTCACAATGGGAGATGAGAATTCGTGGGTTTTAAAGGAAAGAAATAAAGAAATAAAGCAATAAAGAATTAAAGAAATAAAGAAAACAAAGAAAAGTCTTTAAATAATAGAGTTGTAGCATTTAAGATAAAGAATTAAAGAAATCAAAGCACGGGGGTTGAATCCCGATCCTGTGGGTCGTAGACAAGCGCGCTCCTCACTGCGCCACCACGACTAGGCGCCTCAAAACATCTAGGAAAACCAGCTTGAAGCGAGTTTCATCGTTTCCATAATATTGATAATATTCTGTATCCAAATCTGCACCCCAATGTTAGTTTATTTGTTTCCCAAAGATTCAAAGCACTTTTTTCCCCTTCTCTCTGATAATCCCACTCATTTTTCTTCTACTTACTTCTTTTATCGAAAAGAATCCATAGTGGCAACTCTTTCCTTGTCGCTTTGTCCCTTTTCTATCCAACGGACCTTCTTAAAGTCCAATAGACCCATCTTCTGGCCCTTCTTGCCCTTCTCTCCCTTCTTCCCCCTCTCCCCCTCTTCCCCTCTTCCCCTTCTTCCCCTTCTTTCCCTTTCACTGACAAATGGGTGCTTTGGCAATTCTTTTCTTTTAAATCTTTACCTCAAAAGAGATCAACTAAAAAGTGATAGATACGATTTGGGAAAGGTCACTTCAACAAAAGGATACATGTAAAAGTACTGAGCTGTTAAAATGCAGTACTAGTAGTACTGGTGAGCCTGTGCCAGTGAGCCAGTAAGCCTGAAAACTAGAAACTAAAGCTCGTTGAAAGATTTCAAATGTAAATTTGCTGCTACACATTGTCTATATTAACTTTAAATACTAATTTCAGAGCAAAAGTTCAAAAGAGTCAGACCAAAACTATGTTAAGGCCTGACTTCTGAACTGTACTTGCAAGTCCTGCATCAATTTGTTGCGCTTTCCTTCTCTCTCTTCCTTTCTTTCTCTTCCTTGTCTTTTTTATGTCTTAGGCAAATAGCTCAGTGGTAGAGCTGATAGCTCAGTGGTAGAGCATCTGGTAAGCAAAAGGTCGAGAGTTCAATTCCTCTTGGTTCCAAATTCTTCCCCATTTCTTTATTTTAAAGCCTGCATTTCAAAAAGGCAAAATTGGAGAAATTAATTTAAATCCTTGAACTTTCTTGATGATTCTTGTAGACAGCTCTTGTATTCCCCATGAATTCTCTATCAAATTGAGGTCAGGAGATCAAGCAGGCCAGTCTAAAGTTGCCATGTTGCTCTTGACATGTTGCTCTTGACATGTCATTATTGCTATGTTGTTGTTGTTCAGTCAGTCTCGGGTATCTCCGGCTCGATGAATTGACGCGTTGTCGTGTTGAAACACATCGGGAACGCTTGGATTTAGAAGCAAAAACGGCAGCAAGCAATTGTCCAAGATATCTATATAGTTAAAACGTCAGTCTCGGGTCTCGCTTTATCCGTTGTCCAGGCTTTGAAGCCAGCTTCAGAGCCATCTTCAGAGCTACCGTTCCATCAGCACAAAAGGCCAGCCATCACAGAACCACCGCCATAGTTTCGAGTTCCAAACACGATCGGATCACGTGGAAGATCCCTCCAATACTAGTCAACGCCATCATCGAAATTCGATTTCTTCGCGGGATTCCATTTCGCGGTATCATCGAAATTCCATTTGTTCTCATTGGAAAAGATCATTTAAACGAGAAAAATTAATAGAAAATAAGTTGCTTTCTAACCTTAGACCAATCCTGGTTCATATCCTGATCCTGATCCATATCCTGATCTTGATCCATATCCTGATCCTGATCCATATCCTGATCTTGATCCATATCCTGATCCTGATCCATATCCTGATCCAATCCTGAGCCTTGGCAAACTGCAACCAGGCTTTCTTGTGCAAAAGCGTCACAGCCGGTTGCTTGTTCAACAATTATCGATCGATGTGTGGATTTTCCTTGACGGCTTGCCAAATGGAGTCGGAGTTAGGCTAAATCAGCTGCTGGCTAGGCCGGAACAGAGTTGATCAAACCAGGCCAGGCTAGACTGAATCCTGGGCTAAACCTTGGCTAAACCTGGGCAAAACCTGGGCTAAGGTGATACGTTTAGGTGATACGATGATAGATAGGTGATAGATGATAAACGAGAAAAATTAATAGAACATAAGTTGCTTTCTAACCTTAGACCAATCCTGGTTCATATGGGCCTTGGCGAACTTGGCTTTGGCCTTGGCGAACAATCGGGCTTTCTTGTGCATCACGGGCGGTTGCTTGTTCAAAATCGATCAATATATGGATTTTTCTTGATATTTCCATATTATTAATATTAAATATACCGTAAATACAGTAATAGTACCCCCAGTCCCATAATGACGGTGCGAAGCGTTGCGTAGTCTAGCTTTGAACGAGTGTTTCTCGACACTGGTTTGTGCTACAATGGGCGCTTAGGTGTCAAAAAATAGCCCTGAATTTCAGCTATTTTTTGATACCAAAGACGCATTTTTTGAAAGTACGGGCGCTTTGAAAAAAATGAAATACTAAATACTAAAAAACTTTTGCGACTACGCGACTGTACGGGGGCTACTATTACAGTATTTACGGTAGTTATAATTAATAGATACGCATATTCTTCAGCTTTTCAAGTGTTGTTCTTTGATCTAAAAGAGAGCTAAAGATCTAAAGGAGGAGCCCATTCAGCGCTCCGAGTCCCGCCCACTTTTCGATTGAAGGTCCCAAAGGTGCCCTGAAGGTCCCAATCCTCTTCAAAACTAAGAAATCTCAGAATTCATCCTATTTCCTATTATCTTAATAACTAAATACTTATTTTAAACAATTTGAAAGCTTTCCAGAATCTAGACTCATTCTCAACGGGGTTTTCCCCAAAAATGGGGCGCTTTGAAGAAAAATTACGGTTTCTCCTCTTTCTATATTCACTAAATTTCTACATTTCGCCAAGCTCGGGATTGTGAGTTTTTTAGATTCTAATGATTCTAATGATTCTAATGATTGTAATGATTCGAATGTTTTGACGGTTTTGACTGTTAGTTTAGACAATAGTTGTTATAACATAGACAATAGACAACATAGTTTAGACTTTTGTTGAAAAAGCAATGATAATTGCTATGATATGATAAGACAAAGTTATAATTAGAAGTCAAATTAGAACTCAAATTAGAACTCAAATTAGAACTCAAATTAGAACTCAAATTAGAAGTCAAATTAGCTTCAAATTAGCTTCAAATTATAGCTCTTTTTCCTAATTTAGCCGAATCTTGTTCTATTCTTGACTCTGAATCTTACAATTCTATTCTTGACTTCTATTCCAATTCGATTACATCTCATTTCACCAATTCCTTTTTGATAACTCTTCTCCCCAACTTCCAAAAGGGGGCAATTTGAAATTCTAAACAGGGTTCTAAAGCAGTTCTAAACAATAGCAATTTGTGGTTTTCTTGAATTGTGATAGAGGATTGGGATTGTCTATGGAGAAAGATTCTTCTTGTTGTTCCTCAAAGATTCTCCTTGTTTGTTCCCCAAAGATTCTTCTTGTTGTGCCCATTGAAATCCCGAGGGACTCATATCACACCTCTAAATCTCTATACAAATCCCATCCCTTTTTTTCAGGAGAAGATTGTGTTCTTTCAAGTTATCAGAACTGGTTTTCATTGAGTGAGTATCGAAGGACCAAGACCAAGCCAATCATTGCTTGTTTTCCTTAGCTTTATTGCAAGTCTCTTAAGAGCCAGTCAATCATTGCTGTCAATATTGAAATCAGTATTGCAATCAGTATTGCAATCAGCTCTTAAAAAAGACTAGAAACTCGCCAGAAATTCGTCAATTTTGGGTTGATTTTGAACAACTAGAACTAGAACTAGAACTAGAACTAAAACTACGAACTAGGAACTAGAACTAGAGCTAGAACTAAACAGAACTAGAACTAGAACAGAACTAGAACAGAACTAGAACTAAAACTAGAATGAGAAAAACTCATACCCTCATCCC